GCACGACGACATTCGCGGTAGAAGGAGCACTCGGCTCGGGGTGTACGACCGGCCTCCTCCTCGCACGAGTGCACACTTCTCAGGGATGGGAAATGTTTACGGATGTCCTCTTTCCAGAAGGCGCCCACCTCATCCGATCCGCGACACATTCGGTCTAGAAAGGTAATGCGAAGCATATGTTGACGAATCTCAATGCTAGGCACACCCAGACAGCCCTCAGAGGGATGAAGGCAACAGATCTCGCGAGATACCACAGGGGCCTTGTCTCTCCACAAGAAAGAGAACAAGGTCCGAACTAATAATATTAGTTTGGCATACGGGAGTGGAAGTACAGAGAGTCGGTACAGGAGAATCGGATAGATGTGTGAAACACATACTTCCGCCCTCCGAGACCACAGATTAACCGCGATCTCGGCCTTCCCTTGTACCTCCGACCAATTCATTCCCAACTGGAGATCAGGACCAAACCAGACGCCGAGTAACTTGATCGGCCCATCCGTCCAGAGGAAAGGTCCGGGAAGAGAAACTCCCTTCCACGCACCCAACCGCAAGCCAACAGACTTATCTTGGCCCCTGTCACCATCTCATACCCATTGATCTCTTTGCTGACTTCGTCAATCTCGGCTCTGCTCGACACAAGAACCGAAATGTCGTCAGCATAGGCAGAATACCTGGTTGAGGTGGTAGCCCCAGGCAGGGCAATTCCGCGCAGGACCGGATTCGCCTTTAACCTGCGAAGGAATGGTTACAACGCAAGAACGTAAAGCAAAGGCGAGAGCGGACAACCTTGACGAATGGAGCGAGACAATACGAAAGGCTTCGATCTTACCCCATTCACCTCCACCAGCGCACCGGGGGGTCGCATGCAAGAGTCGGATCCAGGAGCGAAAGTCGGCTCCGAAACCGGCCGCCGAAAGGACAGCCTCCAGAAAACGATGGTCAACCCTATCGAAGGCCTTGGACTGATCTAAATTGATCGGCGCGGCTTCACTGTCGACTTTTTCTAAGATCAAGCGTACCATGTGAAGGTTATCCTGAATAGTCCTGCCCTTCACAGCACAAGTCTGTTCGGGGCCAATCAGACTAGACAGGACAAGCTGCAAACGGTTGACTAAGATCTTTGCCAAAATCTTTAACTCAATGTTTAACATGGTTAAAGGGCGAAAATTCCCTAACCCATCCCCACCGTTCTTGTCCTTACGCGGCAAATTGATCACTCCCCTAGTGAAGCGTTGAGGTAAAGACCCCTGCTTCATCCAGTGGTTGAAAATCAGTTCCAGCAAAGGAACAAAAATGGGCGACTGCCTCAAGTAAACTTCGTAGGGAAGACCATCCAGTCACGGAGATTTATCCAGGCCAACCTGCTTCAGCGCATCCCAGATTTCCGACTCTGTAATGGGACCCTCGCACCTAGCCGCTTCAACTGCACCGAGGCAGGGAAAGTCAGCTAAATAGGCGTCGAACTGAGCAGAGCTCAGACCGGGCTCCCTGGTGAAAAGATCCTGAAAGTAATCCCGAAAGACCTCACATATGCCTGCGTTTCTAGTCACGGTCCGCTTATCCGGCAATGTGACGCACGCTATATGTCGCCTAGCCGCGTTCCGATTCTCCTCTGCACGCAGTTCAGCGGCCATATTCGTCGCCTCAGAAGACATTCTTTTTAACCTAGCCCTAACTACCAGAACTTGATCCTTCTTGATAAGCAAGGAGGACAACTCTGCCTTAGCTAAGGCTATTTCCCTACTAGCACGGGATTTCACTGCCCGATCAACTTTATTTTCTAAAGCCGTTTGCGCCGCTAATCTATCTAGAGTGAGTCGACGACTAAAATCGGCAGCAAATGTTCTAATTTTAGATTTTAATTTATCCCACCAAGCGTTTTCCACAACTGCCCCCGTCAATTCCCTTTGTATCATTAGTAACAGCTGGTCCCGGAAACCCTGCTCACTAAATAATGAACTGTTAAATTTCCAGTAGCCAGCCAATCTAAGCTTAGGCTTATCTAAGTTTACACGGACTCGGGCAAGACTATGATCCGTATAAACTATGTAATGGAAGCTTGGACACCCTAAGAGCCCTACATCGACTCTCCTTACTAAGACTCGGTCGAGGTAGCTCGCAAGCATCCCAGGAGCCTAGTAGCCACTATTAGTCCAAGTCCATGCTACCTCCCGAGGGTGTTCATTCCGGTACTTATCGACAAGATCAAACCCATCGATAAAGTCCCGAAATGGTTTCACGTCCGGGTTGTTAGTACCTTGTTTTTGCTCTATATGATCTATATCGGGGTCAAGGACGGCATTCTAATCCCCCGCTAAAACTACCCGACGAGATGTCGTCAAGTACGGCGCGATCTGTCGAAACAAAGCAGGCCGCTCGGCATGGTTATTGGGCGCATAAACCCCAATGAGATGTAGAACCTTATCCTTTATGGTAACATCCAGCACGCAAAGTCTGCCCGCCGGATCCGCGAAGACTAGGGTACATGCAGCCTTCAAAGTCCTGCTCACTAGCCAAGAGACACCCCTCGAACGACCATCAAAACATGCTGAATAAAGGGCGAACCCCCTAGACAGTATGTCCTCACGGTCATGAGAAGAAAACTGAGTCTCTTGCACACAACATACATTAACCCCGAGGCGCTGAAGGTCACGAAAGAGTCTCACCCTGCGAGACTCGGACCTCAGGCCCCGGACATTTAGACTAGCTCACCAGAGAGCCATAGTGAAGACCGGTTAGGGTTGAAGTACTGGTTTGATCATGGACGGGGTAAGGATACTGACCGCCTCTCCCATGGCCCATCTCAGTCTTTATGGTACCGTCTTGGGAGATTCCACCGATATCCCAGGGGAATATTAGTTTCAGGGCTTTATACAGGGAGGGATGAACTAAAACGGGGACCCTCCCTGCACAAAGATTAGACAGCTGCTTCAATTGCTTGTTCTGTACAATGGCTATTGGCAAGGCCATTTTGTAAGAACTAATGGCCTCGTCTATCATTGTCCAAATTTGCTTGGCGCCAGGTCCCGTTCTTACAACAGTTAGGACCCTTTGGGCGAGCGGGAAATTTTGGGGAACTTCTACATCCAAATCGGCATATTGCCTAATGGATAGAAGGTATTTCAGATCTTTTATTCTGTTCCCATAGTCACGGGCTCTTTCTGCCTGAGCTGTAGAAATTTTACAGACATCTTCACCCGTGTTGAAAATTTGCGCTTGAGTGGGGCTTCTCTCCCGTTTAGAAGCGGGAGGAGGCATTTCAGTTTTTTTGGCGGGGGAAGGACTGGGAGCACGCAGAGGGGTATAGGATGATCATTTTTTTAACAGGGGAAGGGCTGGGAGTGTGATGGGGGTGTAAAAAGATCTATGTTTATAGGGACTGGGATCTCTGCTGAGAGGACGGGCTTTTGACGGTGTAGATGGAGGGAAAGTTTTTTGGGAGAAGGTGCGGACCGGGCAGAGGACGTGGAAGGAGTGGGATTTGTGTGCTGAGCTTTTGACTGGTTGTCTAATTTCTTTTTAAGCTCCTTTATTTTTTCGGTTTTTTCGTATCCTGGGTCATACTTTTTCTGTTTCTTTTTTAATTCTAGTTGAGAGGCCAGAGCATCGCCCTTAACGTTGCCAGAGTTAGAGTTAGGGTTTGCCTTTTGTCCTTGGGGCTTCAGGGGACTGAGGACCCGCTGTCTGGCGCTTCCCTCTGGCCTTACCAGCCACCAGCCATTCCCCCTCCCCCTTCTCCACACTGCACTAGCAGCGGGGGAAGGCTCTTTGGGGAATGTGGTCTTTGATGGTATACCAACTCGAGGTTTAACCGACCCGGTCCCGGAAGCTGGTACGCCCATTACAGGCGAGGCTGAAATTGGAGACGCGGTCAGAGGGCGATTTTGGTCAACAGGAGCTTGACTACCAGAGCCTTCTTCTCTGGGCAGGAGGAGGAAAGATGACCAGTCTCTCCACACCTCCAGCATACCGGTTTTTGGCCAGTTACAATGACCGGTAATTTCAAGCTCCCGACATCCAGAGAGTTGGGGATGGAGCGGAAGGCTTTCTCGTCCAACATAATATCGAAGCTTCATCCCCCGTTCAGGTTATCACAGGAGGCGCCCAGAATTTCGCTATACTGGTCCACGAAAACGGCGAGGTGTTCCACGTTAACTTGAGAAGGGACCTCATATACTGTGAACCTGCTCCTTCTGCGGCCTTCATACTCCGTTCTTAGGATTAAATCTTTAGTGATGAACTCACGGCTCGCCGCGGCTACGCAGTCTTCTGGCGTGGGTAGCAGAACTTTCCACATGAAAAATTTGGCTCCCTTAACAATTCTAAAGGGCTTAAACCCCAAGGACTCTAGTGTCTTCAACACTATGTTTTTCGTCGAGCGACAAATTTTGCGCGAACTCTTATCGACGACGAAAACTGACACAATTCTTTTTTCAATCTTCTTCAATTCTTTGGGGTCTTCCAAGAGTCCACCTTTCACGACAAGGTGAGCGTAACTCTTAGCACGCTCCAAGAAATCCGCTAGATTGATAATGCATTTTGGTGGGGACGACCAACAAGACGGCGATTCCCCGGCCTCAGTCTTTTCTTGGGAGCCATTTTTAGCTATCATGTCAATCTGTTTTTTTTTTGGCCATTATTGTCCTCCGTAGTTTTTTCACTTTTCTTAATTCCATTATTGGCCTCCATACTTGTAGAGAGTAAATTTTCCTTTTCCCTAGAGATGTCATCCTCGCTAGGAGAACTTGGTTCTAGGGTTGGGTAATCATTAAGATTGTCTTTATCCGGTGTGTCTTTCTTTGGGGGGGGGGGGTTAAATAAATGTTTTCTTATAGACTTTCTGTAGTCTGATAAATTGTTTTTTTTTAATAGCTAAAAAAGAAGGTGCTAGTGGGGAAATAGATTTAGCTAAGGCAGAGTTGTCCTCCTTGCTTATCAAGAAGGATCAAGCTCTGGTAGTTAGGGCTAGGTTAAAAAGAATGTCTTCTGAGGCGACGAATATGGCCGCTGAATTGCGTGCAGAGAAGAATCGGAACGCGTCTAGGCGACATATAGCGTGCGTCACATTGCCGGATAAGCGGACCGTGACTACAAACGCGGGCATATGCGAGGTCTTTCGGGATTACTTTCAGGATCTTTTCACCAGGGAGCCCGGTCTGAGCTCTGCCCATTTTGACGCCTATTTAGCTGACTTTCCCTGCCTCGGTGCAGCTGAAGCGGCTAGGTGCAAGGGTCCCATTACAGAGTCGGAAATCTGGGATGCGCTGAAGCAGGTTAGCCTGGATTAATCTCCGGGACTGGATGGTCTTCCCTACGAAGTTTACTTGAGGCAGTCGCCCATTTTTGTTCCTTTGCTGGAACTGATTTTCAACCACTGGATGAAGCAGGGGTCTTTACCTCAACGCTTCACCAGGAGTGTGATCAAGTTGCTGCGTAAGGACAAGAACGGTGGGGATGTGTTAGTGAATTATCACCCTTTAACCATGTTAAACACTGAGTTAAAGATTTTGGCAACGATCTTAGCCAACTGTTTGCAGCTTGTCCTGTCTAGTCTGATTGGCCCCGAACAGACTTGTGCTGTGAAGGGCAGGACTATTCAGGATAACCTTCACATGGTACGCTTGATCTTAGAAAAAGTCGACAGTGAAGCCGCGCCGATCAATTTAGATCAGTCCAAGGCCTTCGATAGGGTTGACCATCGTTTTCTGTCGCCTTTGCTTTACGTTCTTGCGTTGTAACCATTCCTTCGCAGGTTAAAGGCGAATCCGGTGCTGCGCGGAATTGCCCTGCCTGGGGCTACCACCTCAGCCAGGTATTCTGCCTATGCTGACGACATTTCGGTTCTTGTGTCGAGCAGAGCCGAGATTGACGAAGTCAGCAAAGAGTATGAGATGGTGACAGGGGCCAAGATAAGTCTGTTGGCTTGCGGTTGGGTGCGTGGAAGGGAGTTTCTCTTCCCGGACCTTTCCTCTGGACGGATGGGCCGATCAAGTTACTCGGCGTCTGGTTTGGTCCTGATCTCCAGTTGGGAATGAATTGGTCGGAGGTACAAGGGAAGGCCGAGATCGCGGTTAATCTGTGGTCTCGGAGGGCGGAAGTATGTGTTTCACACATCTATCCGATTCTCCTGTACCGACTCTCTGTACTTCCACTCCCGTATGCCAAACTAATATTATTAGTTCGGACCTTGTTCTCTTTCTTGTGGAGAGACAAAGCCCCCTGGTATCTCGCGAGATCTGTTGCCTTCATCCCTCTGAGGGCTGTCTGGGTGTGCCTAGCATTGAGATTCGTCAACATATGCTTCGCATTACCTTTCTAGACCGAATGTGTCGCGGATCGGATGAGGTGGGCGCCTTCTGGAAAGAGGACATCCGTAAACATTTCCCATCCCTGAGAAGTGTGCACTCGTGCGAGGAGGAGGCCGGTCGTACACCCCGAGCCGAGTGCTCCTTCTACCGCGAATGTCGTCGTGCTCTGAAACTCCTCTTACGGGCGTCGGATGGCCTCTCCAACGCCCAAGCGTTGTATCGACTGTTAGTTAGGGGGGGTGTTCAAGATGATCTGATTGGCGAGCTCGGTCTTACGAAGCAGGAGGCTCGCTCGATATGGCCTTGGGCGCCTGTGTTGAATAATAACTCAATAACGATGAGGCATCACTCACCTGATTCTTGGGCTCTCTGGGTCGGCAAGAGACTTTGTTCAGCAGGCTTGGAGAAATATCCAAACTGTCGTCGCTGTACTGGGGAAGTCGAGACCATTGGTGATGCCTTTTTTCAGTGCAGGACGGTAATGCCGTTGTGCAAGTTTGTTGAAGGCCTCATGTTTCGCATGCTGCAGGGAAATTTCTTTGTCCTTGAAGCCAGTTCTGTCTGTAGCAATGTGGTGCCGCAGTTGACGAAGGCTGAACACTATGTGTTCTGTTGCTTACTAGGGGTTATGAGAGTCGTGATGTGGACGACGCGTCAGAAGGAATTCTATGATGGCGAGCAGTTCACCTCTTCACAACTGATCTTGTACTTTAAGCATCAGCTTAAAGTCAAGATTAGGACGGAAAGGCGGCGGCTCCCCTCATCAGAATTTGGCAAAAGATGGGTGAATCTTGCGCGCTTGTGTCGAGTAAAAGTGGCTGACTTGGAGTGGCATTTTCATGCCGGTTAGACATCAAGATATTGTTTTCCTGGGTTAAACATGGGCAACCCTTCCCTAGTTTAGGTTTTTGTAGTTAATTTTTTAGTTTCTCTTTCATTTTTCGGTAAACTTAGCTAGGGTGTGTTTGCTCATCGGTCCCTTTTATTTCTGTCCCCACTTTTTCCCTTTAGTTTAACTCCCCATCCCTCCCTCGTTTAGGTGGTCAGTGATTTCAGTTCTCTGGTGGATACGGGGCGACTTTCGATTCGCGTGTGTGTTTTTCGTATTTGTTGTTGTGTATGAATGTGTGTGTGCCGGTGTGAATGCTTTGGAGGAATGAGTGTTCTCTTTATTTTCTTAGGCCCGCATCGTTTTCGTCCGGTTAACTGATATTTCTGCCACATTTAAGGTTTTGGGGTGGGGGTGTGACGTCGCTTGGTCCAGGGTTGATCCTGGTCGCGGCGCCGATTGTGACGTCGCCCCGCCTGGTCGCAGCGTCGACTCTGTCGTTCGATCTCGTTCGCGGCTCCAAGTGTGACGTTCTAACCCTTTGGTTAGATGATTACCAGCCTCGCCGTTCCCAACTCGCTTCCAACGCCTGGTTACTAGGGTAACTGCACTGATCTCCGGTCTGCCTACCCACGTTGTGATTAGATCTTAGACAGACGGGATCAAACAGGGATTGGGGCCGTATGCAAGCTGAGTTCGACGGTGTGGTAACACACAAGTAAAAGAAAAACTCACGAGGCCAAAATTACTGATAAAAAGGGTAACAACCTTTTATATCTAAATGTTCGTTACATAAAAATTATTCCTACTCCCCGACCCGTTTTGTGGACTGTGGCACCAAGCTTCTACCATACAACTTAAAGACTTCGAGTTGCCTACTCTCTAGAAATTTGCATGTCGGGGTGTGGTTTGGTTTCGACACTGGGCGCTGATCTCTACCTGTCGTTCACGGCTGGTTCTTCTCGCCGTCAGTGCGCGAATCGATTTCTTCTCTTCAGCTTGAGTTGGACGAGCTTATTCACTTCGGCTTGAGTTGGACGAATTTCTTCACTTCGATTTGGGTTGGACGAATTTCTATTCTTAGGTTTGGTTTGGACGAATTTATTCACTTCGACTTGTCTTGGACGAATTTCTCTTCATAGGCTTGGTGTGATTCAACTCCAACTGCAACTTCTTCTCGCCAAGGTCCGAACTCTTCTCTCTGCCGTCCGGGGGCTGAACTCTTCTCTCTGCCGTCCGGGGCTGAACTCTTCTGCCTGTTTGGCCTGCAACTCCAACTTAACTTCTCATCGACCTTCGGGCTGTAGCTCCAACTCTTCTTATCGTCCGCTCTGCAGCTTCTCTTGCCGCCCGCCCCGCAACTGATTTCTGTCGACTGGGGTCCTGCTTTTATTGACGCCGCAACAAACTGGGGTGGGTCTGTCGGCGCCAGGGTTTTTTTGATAATTCCAAAAGTCGCATTATTCCTGATTTCCCATTATCGCTCTTACTTTCACTCCTACTTCCTTACAGTGCCTCTGGGGGGGGGCGCATACCCGTTTCCCTGGTCTCTCGTATGTCAGGTGACCGCTTTCGACCAATGGGGTCCTGGTCGAGCGTCCTTCCCCTTTCGTCGCACATCACGTGACCGCTCTCGGCTAATGAGATTCTGGTCGGGCGTCTCTCCCTCCTTCGTGACGTCTCCAATCGGGCGTGGTCAATCCGGGGCTTTGTTCTGGGGAAGAAATACCTTGTTTAAAAAAACAAAATCCAAATTGTCCTTTTCGTACGCGGTATTTGTCAAACTAGCCCGCCGCTAATTAGATGTGACTTCAGGAAGAATTTTTCTCGCCCTGCTGGCGCCCTCTGTGAGCTAAAACAATTGCTTTCACCTCTTTCTTTCGCTCAGGCCTGTTAATAAAATTTTAATTATCTGAATTGAAAATATCTTCCACTCATCATTTTTGGGTGGTCCTTACCTTCAACTCTAGAGCTGGTCAGGATTTGTATACTAATGTATACAATTCCAGCGGTCACTTATCAACTCAATGACACCCTTTTCGTTTGTCACTTATTAATATTTCTTTTTTTTTTATTGTTCTTAAAATCTTTATTGTTTCAGCCAACTTTAACAAACTTCCATCCTACGCGGACACGGAATTAGTTCAAGTGCTTGACCTGATAATTTTGTGCCGGTCGAACGTGTGTGTTTTCGCTTACGACCTTGTTTCGTATTATGTTTCTGTCTTTCCTCTTCTTTTCTTTTTTTTTTGTTTTATTTTATTATCTCTAAACTCTATTTCTTCAACCAAATATAACAATTTCTATTTCCCTGGATTTCGGTCAGGTACTTTGACCTGGATATCTTTTGACACCTCTTTTGCTTATGACCGGGTTTTGTATTATCTATTCCTCTTTCTCTTTCTTTTTATTATTTCTTTTTTTTTTTTCTTTTTTTTTTCTTTCCTTTCTCTTTCTTTCGGATCGCCTAAATACAATTAGAGAATTATTCTCAAAACTCAATTATTTTTCGTCTCTAAATAACTAACAACTGGTTAATAAACCGAATAAAAATTAAATCATATTTCTATGAATATCTCGTTTTAGTTTTTCTAATAATGCAGGGTGCCACAGGGGGTTATTACTAACATACTTTTTGTTTAGTTTCTTGTAAATATTTTATGTCATATTGTATATATTCATTGGGGATCTTTTAAAAATTGTTGTTTTTATGCCCCTCCCCCCACGAACAATATTTGTACATAAGGGGACTATTTATGATTTTCATTGAGACGAAGAGGTATTTTGGTGGATGTAGTATGAAAGGTATGGATAAATGTGTTGTTTTGGTGATAGGAATAATGTTTTTGTATGATAGGGTCAGTGGTTGTGGCTAGCTAAGTTTTATATTAAGACAAGTGATGACCGTCCTTTTCCCCCAACCCCTTTTGGCCTTGTGCCACATTTGATGTATTTACGACAATAAATATTGTTGCAGATTAATTCTTGGAAAATACGGCACGGCGCTATATTTCTTATGACATTTTAATTATTACTCATTCGAGTAATCTTACTAATTTCTATTGATATCACTCGTGTACATTACATCTTTCCACACTCATAACGGACTGTGGAAATTATTCTTTATTTAGCTAAGACCTTAATTGAACTTTGTAGTTAAATAACATTCAACATTGTACTCAACATTAATTAACTAAACTTACCCTTTTTATTACGGAGAAAGGGAAGCAACTTTCTTTATACTATTGTTGATATTTTTGTATATCATTGTTAACAATATTTTATTAATGTTCACTGAGCTTGATTATTTTTCTCTCGTGTATGTTGTGCATAATTCATGTGGGGTGTTGTTTTACAAGAACACAGCTTTCCTTCTTGATTATATTCACGGTGACCCTAGCCAACAATTCTTACAGCACCACTACAATTGGTAACCCCGACGTAGGAACTAATTTCTGCACAGCATTGGTAACTACGACGTCTCAGTGGACACAGCAAGTTAAATCAACTCTGTAAGTTGCAACAACTGAACAATTTTCTGAAAGAAATATTCTAGTTTCAACACAGAAGTCTGAACCTTTTACTCAGACAAATCTTCTTTAAGACATTTCCTTACAGTCAAGGGGAAGCTACTTTTTTCTCCCTTTTTCACTCATATTACAACTACTTTGTATTATTGTTGAATTTAATATACATATATTTCTTCGTTAAACAAAATTGGTTCTCATTGTTTTTTCCTTAATGTTTTAAATATTATGTATCAATGTTTATTACCTTCTCAACACGCAGCCACATTATCTATTTAACCCATTCAACATTGGTGACCACAACACTCAAGAAGTAATACATTCTACAATTGGTCAACCCGATGTTCTAATCAACATTCTACAATATTGCTGAACTTTGGTGCTAAATGAACCACTGGCATGAAATCTATCAGGACTCTTCTTGAATTGACTTGACATCTTGAATAGAGTTTGATGATGATGATGAATATGATGAAAATGATGATGATTAGACATTAATCTTGACAAGTGTCGAGTATCGGAAAAATAAAAAGAAACTAATTATGTCTAATTGAATATTTTGTGTAAAATGCTTAACTAAACCATAAAAAATGTTAATAATTCATAAAATTACTAAATATATATAATTAATAATGAAATACAAATCAATTATTACCTAGATAAGGCTTTTTTTTACGGCTGGCGATGCTGTTAATCGATGTTTTATGGATGCCCACCTCATCTCATCAGATAAGAAACTGTATAGAAGAGATTCAATTATATCTTTTAAATCAGCAGATAAAATTCCATATAATGCACCAGATAACATTGCTGACGAAAATTGGTTGGGTTATCGGACCTTTCAATGATGATCCAATTGTCTACAGTAGCGTTGATTTGTGAGAGAAGTTTTATAGCAGACATAAAACAAAATATTTTTAAAGCTTCATCTGACAACAACAACCTAAAATATTGGACCTTCCAGTGATGATTCGCTTTTCTACGGCGGCTTTGATTTGTTAGATTTTGATTTTATAACCGACTTAAAAAATATTTACAAAGATCTATCTGAAAACCACTGGCAAAATTCGACCCTTCAGTGATGCTCCAACTGCCTATAGTAGCGTTAATTTTTTTATATATTTCCTAAAATAAGCTCTGTCTATCAATATCGTACGTGAGCATGTTCACTGATGCCATATAATATCAATCTATAATAGATATATTGATAGTACAAACTATTGTAATGGTTTTATTGCTACTACTACTACTACTATTTGCATATTTGTATCATCAATAGAGAGCAAATCACGCTTCTCAAATCTTCTACTCTCTTCTCGCTTTGTACTGTATCGTAAGTAACTCCTTCGATTTTTAAAGTTCTCTTTTTCAGTTTTTTTGCCATCGTCTGCTATCTGGCAAATTTTCAAAAGTTTTCTTATTTGGACTTGTTGTAGATAGCAAATATCAAAGTCATACATGATCAGAGAGAAAATCAGTTTTAGATCTTGCAAA